ACAGCAGCTGCTGGTCCCTTCTCTTCCCTCCTTTCCCTTGCCACCACCCTCAAGCACAGAAGCTGGAAGGCGAGGCCCTCTACCCCGATGACATGATAGGAAGGAGACAGCCTCTGGCACAGGAGGGTCTTACCGGACTGTGGAGGGAGGGGGGAGGGAGGGCAGAGGAGGGGCAGGGAGGAGAGGCCCAGCCAGTCCAATGGGGACGCTCTGCAAGGAGCAAGGGCTCACCGCCGCGGTCCCTCCAGAGGCCGGGCCACCAGGCCTGCTGTGGGCGGGAGCTGCATGCAGCCAGGCGGGGCCCACGATCCACAGCCCCGAGAGGCAGCGGGGACTGTGTGCCGTGCAGACCACTCGCCTGTGTGGCCTGTGCCCAGCCCACGTCCCTCTGAACGTGACTGAAAGGAGTCCAACAAGGCAGGCGGCCATGGCCTAGGCCAGTGATGGCGAACCTTTTGAGCTCGGCGTGTCAGCATTCTGAAAAACCCTAACTTAACTCTGCTGCCGTGTCACATATAGAAATTTTTTGATATTTGCAACCATAGTAAAACAAAGATTTATATTTTTGATATTGATTTTATATATTTAAATGCCATTTAACAAAGAAAAATCAACCAAAAAAATGAGTTCGCGTGTCACCTCTGCCACGCGTGTCATAGGTTCGCCATCACTGGCCTAGGACAAGGTCTGTCCCCGCTGGGGTCTCACCGCCCTGCCTCGCCCAGGACTGATGGTGGACGATGGGAACGGCACTGTGTGGGGGAGACATGACTCTGAAGAGACTGAGGGGCGGCGACAGGCCCGCCTGCTGGGACCCAGACTCCCCTGCACCCCACTCCTCCCGGCCTCGGCCTCCCAGGACCCACTCACTACCTTCACGGCCCCGCCCGCGGGCAGGTGGCCCACGTTATCCAGGGATCCCACCTTGGCCTGGGCCTTCTCCTTGAAGTTCAACTTCTGACTTTCGATCTTGACATCCCCTCCACCTGGAACCAAGAGGGCACCGGTCACTGAGGGCCCAGACGCCTGCGGGCCGGCCGGGAGCCGCGCCCGGAACCCCAGGTGGCCAAGGCCTGGCTCAGTGCTCGATGCAGAAACGGGGACACGGACCTGCTCCCAGGGGCTGAGGGCAGACAAGGGGGCACCGCGAACAGGCTGTCAGGACAGGGCTGCGCGTCTCGGCCAGGCTGGGCCCACCCACCCGCAGAGGGAGCCCCTCCGCAGAGCAGGCCGTCCCCCGCGCACAGCTGCTGGCCGGGCCGGAGCGCAGGCACAGCCTGAGGCGCCTCTAAGGGTGCCAGGTGGCACCTCCCTGACTGTGTGCAGGGTGCACTGGCCTCCTGTCTGCCCATGACACCCACCCACCAGGGACAGGGCCCTTGTCCCACAGCTGCTGGCACTGAGCTGGGAAGCGACTTGTCCAAAGTCACCACCAACCAGTGAGGGACAGAGCCAGCGTCTCACCCAATCACACTGTAGCGACAAGAAAGGCGGCACCGGCCTAGGGCGTGTGAGTTGAGAAAAGGCAGGGCCAGCACCAGGATCCGGAGCCCTTAAGCGGGGGAGGGGCCCCAGGGGGTCGCAGGGTCAAGGGTCAGCCCACCCCACGGCCTGGAAGCCTAGGAAGGCGGCTTTCCTCTCAGCTCACGTCACACACTGACCCGGTGCTTCCCACATGGCCAGGGTCCTCCACGCCGAGCCCCCGCCTCCCGCCAAGCTGACTCCAGCCGAGGCGGCCTGTGGGGAGGTCTCCCCAGAGGGTTCCCGATGGAGGAGGGGAAGGAGAGTTGGTTGGGGCTGACCATCTCCATCGTTGTAAATGGAATCGTTCTACCACGGACGAGAGGAAGGGAGCTCCTGGCTGTCACCTAAGCCGGCCACGTGACTGGCCCGAGGCCCGCACCCGCCAGCGGTGTGCCCGGCGCTGCACCGTTGGGGCCCCACCCCGGAGCCCAGGAACGCCCTCCCAGGTCCTGGTCAGCGGCACCTCGCACACAGAGCGTCCTCCAGACGAGGCCCCTGCAAACGCAGCCTCGACTCGGCCGCTCCCCCCGCTCCCTGAGGGCCAGGACCCCTGTGCCATGGCCGACAGAGGGTGACCCCCGCTGGCCGCGCACCCGGGCCGGGAGGGACTCACCCGGCTTGTGCTTGATGTTGGCCTTGGACCCACACTTGGAGGAGACCTTGGAGATGTCCACCTTCTTGCTCTGAATCTGAACCTGAGAAGAAGGCGACCAACACAAACGCTGCCTCAGAGGGAGAACATGCCAGGCCAAGGCCACTCCCTCTGAAATCCTTGCATCCAAGTTCAAGTGTCTTCTCTCCCTCCTGAGCTCCTAGCTTAGTCTGTTCAAGGTCAGGGTCACCTTCCAAAAGTGCTCCCCGCGTGCAGCCAGACCAAACCCGTTTCCACGCGCATCTCCGCCCTCTCCAGGCCACCGCCAGACAGCTTCCTCCCCTTTTTCTGGATCCCACTCTCTTGAGCCACCCCCTGCTCTACCTCGAACCCGGTCCATCTACTCCTTGCCCAGAGTTCTGGCCCGTTTCCTTCCAGTTCTTTTCCATGCGTCTCCCCCTGCAGGCTGACAGCACAGATTCTACCATCGACATACATAGGAGGCGAGAGGCCAACAGACTCCTCGGGCCTGCCGTGCAGGAGCCGTGCAGCAGCACCGGGGCACCAGGCGGCAGCACGTCTTTGAACTGGGAAAGAACCTCCATGGACAGAACCCCCACGTGGGACCCCAGGTGCCCCTGCTTCTGCGGAAGAGCCTGGCTCTCGGCACACCCACCGCCTCCCACCTCCTGGCCTTGTCTTCCTTGTGTCAGGAACCAGGGTCTCCCAGGGGAAGAGTCCCCGCCCACAGCCCGGGCCTGGCGCTGAGCAACTCCCACACCAGCAGCCTGCTGAGCCTCACTCTTCCATTCAGACCCTTTCACACGTTTTCCTTCAGCGGAGAGGAGAGGCCTTTTTAAGCCCTGAGACAACCTGTAGTGACTGTCTTCCCACCCATCCTGCCCACCCCCAGCGCCCACACAGAATGGATTTGGAAGCATGGAGGCTGCCTGCCTGAGCCGTCGCCCTCGCTTCTAGAGCCCCCCATGCTGCCCCAGCCCCGCAAGCCCCGCCCTCAGAGGCTGCCTTCTCCACAGGCCTCCGGGGCGGGCACCAGCAAGCACTGGACACCAAGGGCTTCAGGAACTCAGCCACTCTTCACAGAGCACCTCCCGCCATCACCACCACCGCCCGCTGTCTCATCTTGGCCACAGGCCGCACGGCTCCCTGAACGGGACCAGCGGGAAGTGGACTCTCGGCCGAAGGTGAGGCAGCTGCTTCAGACAAGCTCATCGTGCGTCCCCAGGCACTCGCCCGCCCGCCGGGCGCTCACCCGAGTGTGGAGCCCACAGGTTCCTCGACGGGTCTGCCCTCGAACCCTCCACTTCTTCACCTGGTGCCTTCACTTGACAGCTATATCCCAGCCAGTTACTATGCACTCAGGGGCTTAGTGCTGGGCATCCGTCGCTGACATCACGAGAGAAAAGACCAGAAAAACAAGACACAACATGCTTCCTGGACCCACACGACCGTGGCAGGGTTACCGCAGGCGGCAGAGTCCTGGCTGGTGGCTCCGTGGCTAGAGTGCCGGCCTGCGCACCCAAGGCTTGTGGGTTTGACTCCCGGTCAAGGGCACAGACCTGGGTTCCGTTCAATCCCCAGCCCGTCAGGGCATGTGTGGGAGGCAACCAATCAATGTGTCTCTCTCACATCAATGTTTCTCTCTCTCTTTTCCTCCCTCCTTCCCACCCACTCTCTCTAAAACTCAATGGAAACATATCCTCGGGTGAGGATGAACAGCAACAGAGTGGTAACAAAATGTAAACCTGAATCGACATCGAGAAAATGGGAGCGTAAAGGAGCGTGTTAATGGGGCACCATCAGCGGAACCCAGACTCCAGGACGGCCGCTGGCGCTCACAGGGCCGCGGAACCAAGCCTGAGCGACCCGGCGCGTCCAGCATCGTCACAGCTCACGGCCCGGCCGATCCCGATGCTCAGGGTGGGTCTCCTACACGCGCACGTGGCAGACTTCCTCTTAGTTACATACGGGGAGGTTCGCACACGGGCGAGTTACCTAAGACCAGGCCCAGAATAATGGAGATTGGCCACAAGCAAAGGAAGCTGGCAAAGGCACAGCCGGCCCGTTTCACTTTCCATTTGGTGACTTTTGTGTATATTTGGAAACGTCTACGATGAGAGGCTGTTAAAGATTCACTGCCTCCGAGACGTGGCTCCGCTGCCTCACGGGGACGTGGAGGACCCACCACCCCTTCCCTCCCGGCTCCTCTCCGCCCTCCACGTGCAGCTTCCACGGCCCAGGACGTGTGTCTCTCATGGTCAAAGGCTGGCCCAGAGGTCACAGTGAACCCCGACAGCCCACAGGTCCCCCCGGTGGAGCCTGACAGCCCACAGGTCCCCCCGGTGGAGCCTGACAGCCCACAGGTCCCCCTGGTGAACCCCAACAGCCCAGAGGTCACAGTGAACCCCGACAGCCCACAGGCGCCCCCGGTGAACCCCAACAGCCCACATGTCCCCCCAGTGAACCCCGATAGCCCACAGGTCCCCCCAGTGGAGCCTGACAGCCCACAGGTCCCCCGGTGGAGCCCGACAGCCCACAGGTCTCCCCAGTGGAGCCTGACAGCCGTGTTCTCACACAACCAAGCCCCCAGCCACGGGACCTGGCTGTAGCTGTGCTGTTGCCCCTGGGGTGACGCCCGGGGCCCAGCGCAGATGTCAGTGCTGCTACTGAAGTGACCCTGCCGGCAGGTCTAGGAACAGACATCCCCTCCTCGGAGGGTGAAATGGGATTAAAACGGCTGCAAAGTTTAAAGGTGGGATCACCCACAAAAGTAGCTGCTAAGTTCCTGCCCCCCCCCCCCCCCGGCTCTGCCCCAGGGGGGTGTGTGTCTGTGGGGGGTGGTAGTGGAGCTAGCCCCGCCCCGCGGGAACTCCCGCACCTCTAAGGGGAGGGCTGTGGCGGAGCGTCCGCCTGCACACAGGCCTGCCCTGGGGAGCCACATGCTGACCGCTGGCTTCCCGAGGGAGGAGGAGGGGCGAGAGCACCTCAGCCCGATGCCCACCCTCAGGGTCCCCCCGGAAACAGCTGCTGACAGACGTCTCCCCACATGGAGGTGCTTTACACAAGGACACCCCAGAAAGGCTGCTGAGGCCATGTGTCGGAAGCGTGAAGAGCATAGCAGGTGACAGGTAAACAGCGATGATTTCCAGAGCTCATACACACACCGCACAACATACATAGTGCATTTGTGTGTGTCACACACACACACACACACACACACCAGCTCCCTCTGAAACCCTGCTCGCCCTGTTTTCATCAGGCCCAAGGCTGAGAGGAAAAGTGAGGGCAGACCTTTGAGTGTCGCCCACGGCCCTAGATGGTATGGCTCAGTGGATAGAGCCTCAGCCTGTGGACTGGAGGATCCCGGGATTGATCCCAGTCAAGGGCACAGGCCCGGGCTGCAGGCTCGATCCCCAGCTGGGGGCGTGCAGGAGGCAGCTGATCCATGATTCTCATCATTGATGTTTCTACCTCTCCCTTCCCCTCTGAAATCAATAAAATATATTTAAAAAGGAAAAAAAACACGTGTCGCCCACTTCAGCTGATCCCACACCAGGTTGGCTAAGGTCTGGCCAATTACCCCCACCCCCACCTGAAGCAAAGCCATGGCTCCTGCCCACACGGCGAGGCCCCACTGGGGGGAGGGCGTGGAAGGAGGTGCCACAAGGGGGCTGTGGGGCGAGAAGGGGCACAGCGGCTGCCTTCCTCCCCAGACAGCTGCCCGCGAGGGTGCTTGCAGGCCACGGGCAGGATGGCAGGGCCCAAGGGGCAGCGCACGGAGCCTGGAAAGCAAAAGGGTGACAGGCAGGACTCAGTCCAGTGGGACAGTGAGGAGCCCAGGGACGAGGCTGGACGGCTCTCTTGGGGGCGGGACTGAAGCTGGTGGAGGAGCAGGAAGGGCAGGGCTGCCCATGACCCCCCCAGCGCCCCCCCAGCTCAGACTCCCGCTGCCTGCGCTGTCGCAGGGACACGGGGCAAACACACAGGCGCTCTTCACACATGACCGACAGACACTGCTCCCCGACTCCCCAGCACAGGTCCCGGCTGGCACGGAAGAGCAGCGCGACAGAAAGGATGCCTGGGTGGAACAGGGAAAGGGACAGAAAGAGGAGGAAAAGGGACTAAAAAGGAAAGAACTAGGAAAGGAGTAAGTGGGGGAAGGAGTAGAAACGAGAGAGAGGAGGTCAGGAGAAGAGGAGAAAGAGCAGGAGAGGGAAGGTGGGGGAGCTCCGGGCAGGGCAGGCAGGTGGGCCCCCAGGAGCGGCCCGTGCCCGGCCCGGCCTCTGATGCAGCTGGAGGAGCAGCAAGGCGCCCACCCAGGGCTGAGGAGAGGGTGAGGGAATGGCGCCAGGGGGGTTGGCCCACCAGCCCCACTTGCTAGCCGCTTCCTGAGGCGGCGCTGGCCAGGCTGCGCGCGCCCATGGCACAGATGGGGGGGCTCCTCCCAGTGTGCCCCACGGCGGCCGAGGCCCAAGAGTCCAGGCTGATACTTACATTACCGCCTCCAGGGACATGCTTAATATTGTCCTTGGAACCACACTTGGACTGAACATGGCTGTAGTTCAATTTTTTGGAGACTATCTGGACCTGGAGTGTCAGAGAACAGAGACAACACAGGGGAGAGGGCTGGTTACTGACACAGGGCACAGTGAGCCCACACGCAATCACATGACCAACAGAGAGTGGTTAAAACTCCGCCCCACCTGCAGCAGAACAGCTGGGGGAAGCACAGAGCCTGAAGGAGCAGGAAGAGGGGTGAGGACGGACAGTCAACATAGGACAGAGCAGATGTTGGGGGGAAGTGCTACTTGGCGCTACCACTGCTCGGTGGGGGCTGGGCTGTGGTTCCCTGCACACGGCCGCCCCTGCCTGCTCCCTCCCTGAGGTCTTGGGGGCATGTCCTGGGGCTCATCTGGGCCAGTCCCTCCCCAGGGATGGGACTTCCCTTCAGCCTGGGGTCTGGAGCAGCTGCAGCAGAGCCACTGGGGAGGCCCGGCCGCTGGGAGAAGCACTGGGCAGTGGGCTCCCGGGCACAGATCTGAGACACCAGCGCTGGGCGTGCCGTGCACAGTCCTGGACACCCTCCCTCCTTGCTTCCTTTCCAGCAGCTTCCTCACGAAGCCCTTTGCAAATGATGCAGCTCCCGACGGAGTAGAGAAATCACGCTGACAAACACTAACCCAAATACCTCGCCATTTCTTGCTTCTTTACAAACATTTCCCAATAAACCCTGGTCTGCACCAGGGACCCCAGGAGTCACCCAGGAGCTGCGGTGCAGCCTTCCTCTCGCCTGATGTACAGAGTCCTTGGGCTGAGCCCTCGGCCAGAGGCCACCCGGCTGCGCAGCTCCGGGCAGAGGTCCCACAGCAGGAGGGCCTGTGCCTGGCGGAGGCGGAGGGAAAGAACCTGCAGGGCCAGCTGGCCTCTGCCCTCCAGCTGGCGTGCCACCGTGCTGGGTGGGCTTCCACTGTAATGAGCACCCTAACTTTCTGCTAAGACGTGACCTGGGGAGCCAGGACAAACCAAGCCATCCCCACACCCAGAAGTGTTATGAGAGGGGCCTTCTAGTTCAGCTTAAAGCACAGGGTCTCCGGGATTCCAGGTGCCAGAAGATACCAGTGCCATGTCTCACTGCGGAAGAACCCGGTGCTGAGTGTGTGAGCGTGTGTGTGCGTGTGTGCATGTGAGTGTGAGTGTGAGTATGTGAGTGTGTGTGTGAGTGTGTGTGTGTGTGAGTGTGAGTGTGTGTGTGTGTGTGTGTGTGTGTGTGTGAGTATGTGTGTGCGCGCGCGGGTAACAGCTGGACGTCAGATCAAGGTCAGTGTGAAGGAAGTGATTGAAAGTTGTAGATCCAGCTGAATAAATAGTCCCCAAAGCACTAATGAGTCCCAAGTGTTAACTCTCAGGGTTGATAAAAACTTTTTCTGTTGCGAAACAGGAAGAAGGAGGCACAGGGAGAGGACGGAGCTGGTGGAGGGACAGGAGAGGCAGCAGGAGGGCGTGGCTGTGCGCTGACCGGCAAGAGGCAGGTCCCCGGACACTCACTTTCCCCGCAGGTGCCCTCTGTGCACTCGCACCCGGCCCAGCAGGCTTAGTGGCCGCGGGAGGGGCAGGTTTTCGAGCTGCAGCTGCTGCCTCTGTCCTTTCCTCTACTTTGGCCTAGACGGGGATAAAGGAAGGGCAATTTCAAAACAAGAGGACAAGAGCCCAAATGCCAAGAGGGAAAGAAGGCTGGGACTCGAATCCAGGCCAGGCAGAAGCAGGTCCCCTTGCTCCTGGGAAAAAACACCCATTTCCCAGGTAGACCAGCCAGAGGGAGGAGCTGCAGATCAAAGCTGGAGCCACGAGAAGAGCAGCCAGCATCACGGAGACCGGCAGGCGGGGGCTCGGTGAGCTGCTCTGCTCTGAGCGTGGCCGGGGCTATGGCTTTCCAACCACAATGTCCTCCCACCCAAACGTTCTCTGCCCCACGCACGCACCCCTGGTCACAGCGAGCCACTACCGGAAACGTGCGCGTCACGCCCTGCAGGTTTGTGGGACAGAAAAACGGAACCGCCGGAGTGTGTTCCTCAGCGCCCCCACGACGCTGCGCGGGAGAGCCTAAGGGGTGTGCGGGACGGGAGGCCTGGTGGGGCTGCCAGAGCCCGGCCCGAGGCCCTCGCCCCAGGCCAATCCTCTTGGCGGGAGGTTCTTCCCGCGGCAGCAGACTCTGCCTCACTTTGGACCCGCTTCAATTTTTTAACAGCTGGGGACTGAAGCCAGGTCAGTGTCCTGCCCTCAGGGGTGGTGGCGGAGAAGGGCTGGAGGCGATGCAGGTGACAAGGCTGTACTCAGGGACTGGGCAGTGGACTCCTGCCACCACCTTTCTCACACACCAAGTCGCCCTGGCTGCTGACAGTTAACAAGTAACGCCAGGACGGACGCAAACAGAAAGGCCCGCGGGCCTGCTCCATCACTCCACTCCACCGCAGTGCCTTCGTGGGGCAGCCACGGCCACCAGGACCCCCACCCTCCACAGACACTCCTGCTGCTCACAGGGCAGGCGAGACCCAGGACAAACCAGTCGCAGCCCCAGAGTCTCCTCTGCTCATGTTGTCAAGTAGAACCTTTTGTCTCCAAACGAAACTGTAAGCCTAAACCCACACACACAACAGGAGCCCCTGATTCCAATCAGGGCGCAGCACTCGGCCCACCCCTCCCAGCTCCAAGCCCAGGCCCTGCCGGCCGCTCCCTGGTGCCCGGGCTGCGGTGCGGACACGCGTGGGGACCAGCATGCGGAGGACCCGGTCCCCGGACCCACCCGGCCTCCTCCAGGCTGGTGCTTGATGTTCTCCGTGGAGCCGACCTTGGCGCGGACGTTCTTCAGATCAGGCGTGGAAGCGCTGGTCGCCGGGCGGCTCAGTCTGGGGGCCAAGGAGCTGGGCCTGGCCGACGTGGGCTTCTTGTCCACGGCAAGAGTCCCAGAGGCCCGGGGAGACACGGGGGTGGGCTTGACGCGACTGGGAGCCGCGCCGGCTGGCGAGCCCGCCCCAGGGCCAGCGGCGCTCTTCCTCGCGGTACTGCTGGAGGTGCTCTTTGCGCGACTCAAGTCAGCTGCGAAGGTAGGAGTGAGACCAGGGTTCAGGGGAGCGCCTACAGGAGCCTTAAAGCCGCGGCAGACGTGGGGGCTGAAGTTAGGGCCCCAAGTGGGGGGGCCTTACCTGGTGCAGACTTCGTAACTGTCTTCTTGGCGTCGGCAGGCTTTCCCTCCGTCTTGGTGCCTGTACAGACGTACACCTCTCAATACAACTTGTACAAACGGACCTACTGAATGGCTCGTCCAATCCTGAGGTTCGTTCATTCATTCATTCATTCATTCATTCAACAGTTACTGAACGTCTGCTGCGCCAGGGGCTGAGATGGCCTCTGGGGAGGGCAGTGTATCAGGCAACCACATGGAGCCACGCCCGCCGTGGGGCACAAGGGCCGCCATCTGGTCTCCTTCTTTCCTGGTCTTGACAACGCCTTCCACGCGCCTTAGAAACAGGCGACCAGCATGGGCCTCTGGAGCGGAACGGCCTAATGCTTGTCACGGAGGCCCGTGGCTGCACTGCGCTGGCACCATGGAGACGCCGGGGCAGGAACAGGGAAGTCTCCCCATAATTCAGGACAGTCCTCTCCACTCACGGTTTTCCCAAATGCACCTGCCTGCTACCCTCCCATGGAGACCACGGCTGCCACTTGCCAACACACCCGTCCAGGACTGACAGACCTGCACAGCTCACGTGGCGCTGGCCGAGCTATGGCTGGGGCCCAGTCACATCTCCACTCTCCTCCCCACTGGTCCCCGCAGGGAGGAGGGGGCCATACTCACCAGCAGGCCTCCTGGGCAGGGGCGTGGGGGCGCTCCTGCTGCTCGGCCCAGTTGAGGCAACAGAGGCGGCCGAGGGGGCCTTTGGAGCGGCCTGGGTGCTCCTGGAGCCGGGCCTGGAGGCCGGGGCAGAGGCTGGCTTGGACGGCGTGGCCTTCTTCTCGGGAACCTTCGTCTCTGCCACAGGCTGACAGCAGGAAAGTGGGAATAAGAGCTGCATGTCAGCAACAGCCCCAGCAAGTCCTGCCAAAGGGGGCTCCACAGATGCACAACCAGAACACGGGCCTGTGGACCTGGCAGCTACTGACAGGAAATACACCTGGTGCCAGGACCCCAGTCCTCCAGGCAACGGACACACTGGCCCTTAGGGTGCTGGGTGATGGGGTCCAGGAACAGTGAGCGCACGACCTCCAGCCGCCCTGACCCGCTGAGAACGAATGGCCCTGAGAGTGCCCCTCACACACGTGCCTCAGGCTCGACCGCATTAAGTGCTGATGTAGTCAGCGGATTAAGTGCTTGGCCAACGATGAACAAACACATAAACAGAACAAACATTTTAAATGATGTCCAGTCCAAAAGGAGGGCCTATGTAATACTTCCAGCAATAAACATGAACAAACAGACGCCCAGGCAAAGCCTCGTTCTTTTGGCTTCGATGTGCCTGTGGGTGCTGAACAGGCCAGGGCTGCAGAGGGGAGAACACTGGCCCGTCGGCCCCCAGCTCAGTGTGTTCTTGGGCAAAACCCCGAGCCTCTCTGGGCTCAGTTCCTGTCTGCACACAGGGGGCAGGGACAGAGGATCTCCAGGGCAGCTCAGAGAAAGGGGAGGGCGGGACCAGAGGGCGGGCGTCTGAGCCCGAGGTGACCAGCGGGGGATGAGCGGCACAGGTGTCCCGGCTGGACCGAAGGCGGAGTGGTCTCAGTGCACAGGCGCCTGGTCGCTGTTCCCTGGGGCCTGGGCACGGTTCACTAGCAAGGAAGCGAAGGAGCCAGGGCAGCCTGGCCCCCGGGAACAGGGCGAGTGCCCTGTGTGCCATGTTACTCCGGAGAGGAAGCCACGCCACACGCCCAGGGGGCCCAGACCTTTAGCTCCAAGAGAAGCTCCCTCTTCCCTCTAATTTGTAGGAACTGTTTCCTAAAAATCAAGAAAAGCTGTCAACTGGGTAAGTGAGGACCAGAAAGCTTCACTGCGGAAATCTTATCATCCCTCGTCTATGAGAGGATTTCTTGGTTTCTTGGCCAGGATTTCAACCTGGATCACAATTCTTAGGTTCCACCAGTTTTCTTTACAAGATTAGACTCAGGCACTTAGACACCAACATGGAGGCTATTCCCAGGATGACCCGAAAGGACATCAAGCTGATCTCCAGGCCCTTCTCACGTAACATGAGCTGTGGAGGCAGACAGACTCCCCGCCCCTCCTCCTAGAGCAGTGGTTCTCAACCTGTGGGTCGAGACCCCTTTGGGGGTTGAACGACCCTTTCACAGGGGTCACCTAAGACCATTGGAAAACACATATATAATTACATATTGTTTTTGTGATTAATCACTATGCTTTCATTATGTTCAATTTGTAACAATGAAAATACATCCTGCATATCAGATATTTACATTACGATTCATAACAGTAGCAAAATTACAGAATTACAGTTATGAAGTAGCCACGAAAATAACTTCATGGTTGGGGGTCACCACCACATGAGGAGCGGCATTAGGGAGGTTGAGAACCACTGTCCTAGAGGAACTCTGGGAAGCGAATGCTGACCAAACTGACCGTTTTCTGGGCGACCATGTGTGGGTGACCTGGAACACGGAAAAGCCTCGCACGCAGCCCGCTGAGAGGTGGCCTAATGCCCAAAGCAAAGACAGTTACCCCGCGGCGGGGCCTGCTAGGGCAAGGGGCAAGAACTTACCCACAGGGAGAGGGTCAGTTCGCTTCCGCAGGGGGAGGAAAGGGAAGGGCAAAGGGAACCGGCTGGGAATTTGATGCGGGAATTACAGCAAAAATTCCAGTATGTGGGAAGGAGAGGGAACCTGGTTACGAGTGTGTGAACAGCGAAGAGTCAGGGGAGCTGGGCGAGAGGAGAAACCAAAGCCGACGGAACACGGCCGCCACGGGCAGGGAAAGGCACCGAGCACAAGGCCTTCAGGTGGGGGAGCTGCCGCAGGGCCCCCAGGCCCACCAGCGGGAGCCTGCCCTGCGCAGAGCTCAGGCGACACTTACCTTGGGCCTGGCGTCCTTGGCAGGCGAGGCGGCTGGCCTGGCGGTGGTGGCCGCGGGGCGTTTGGGGGGGGCAGCGGGCCCCGAGCCCGAGGCGGGGCTCATGGGCTTTTTAGGCAGCCCACCGCAGGTGGTGGGCGCTGGTTGCTTAGGGAGAGAAGTGGACTGTGTTTTGGCTTTCGATGTTGAAGTCTTTGCAGGATGAGTTGTGGCCAAAGGCTTTAAGTTGATTTGTTGGTGTTTTGTTTTTTTTTAAACAGGCCAACATCAAACACACAGACAAGAATAAAAACAAAATGTAAAAAAAGTATAAATTGCACAATTCAAAGCAAAATGATAAGCAATGAGGAGATGCAACTGAAAATCAGCATTCCTTTTTTCTGAGTTCAGTAAAGAGCAGAAAGGCACCAGGACAGAGAAGAAACTGGGCACTGTTTCTTCGTGACCTGCCACAAACGCCAGCAGCTGGACAGCTGCGAGTGAATTCAGTGGTAGCTTTAAACAATTAACCAGCTCCTTGGCTGTGACAATTCTGTGGAAAAGCGACCAGCAGGTGACTACGTACCATTACCTGCACCTCGATGAGGCAACATCAGCTTCCTGTTTAAGACGACACGAAAGTGTGCATTTTGAACTTTGCGATTAGTACCAATTAGTTTCTGAAGCTATGATTCACCTTAAAAATTTGTGTTCCCTTTCATGAATGCAGATTTTAGGATCTATTTCTTTTCTTTTTTTGGTTAAGCCTCACCCGAGGATATTTTTCCATTGATTTTTAGAGAGCGTGAAAGGGAGGTGAGAGATAGAGAAATATCAATGTGAGAGAGACACATCAATTGGTTGCCTCCTGCATGCACCCTGACCAGGGCCGGGGTCGAGCCTGCAACCAACGTATGTGCCCTTGACCGGAATCAAACCTGGGACCCTACAGTCTGTGGGCCGACTTTCTATCCACTGAGGCAAACCGGCTGGGGCTAGACTATTGAAAAAGAGTTCTGCAATTCCTTTTGCTGTTGTTGAGAAGCAGAAACAACCTCTACAGAACATTTCCACAGATACTCAAGACAATAGGGTCAAAGGCAGCGATATTAAGGTCTGAGTTAGGCCATTATGGTAAAATGGGAATATTACCCTAATCTTACCATAATATTAAGCACATCCAAATTTGAGAAAAGACTAACAACTCAGAAAAAAGAAATTTCACTCACAATTCAAGCAATAATAGCTGAAGGTACCGTCAACAAAATGACAGCAGTCAAAGATAACCCACCATTCCGGCAACTACCTTGGCTTTCTTCTCGGGGCTTGGTGGGAGCTCCTTGTTTGGAGGGGCAGTGATGTCATTTCCGGTCACGCTCGCAGCAGCTGGCCCTTCTTCTGGCTTGGCTGTTCCTGAGGGGAGGAAGTCATGCTGAACAAATGGTTCTCACACCCATTTCAAAAATGCGAGCCTTCGCAGAGACAGACAACTAACTAGCACTTCGCTCTGAAGAAAGCCCGCAGGGCTGTGCCGCTGAAAGGTGGACACGACTCCCACGTTCCCCTCCTGGTGACGGAGGAGTTCAGATTCCAGAGATCCGGCCAGCCTGTCCCTGTGGGGAGCAACCTAAGTGGGATTTGCACAAATGATCAAGGGAAGGAAATGGCCCTCAAGCTTGGCTTCCCTTCCCTGGAGACAGATAGGCACAGGGTTCTGTCGCCCAACCACCAACTCCCAGAGCACACAGGGCAAGCCCTCGGCTCCTCGTGTATCTGCCGGAATAAAGGCTGCACAGATGGGCCGCGTGCCAGGAGATCACGCATGTCCTCCCCTGACTTCCTCTCCCTGGGAAGCTCTGTGCAGAGGATGTGAGCTGAGCGCGATCTGATTCCGGCAGTGACCCAGATTCCCAGCGAGGCAGGAGACCCGGGAAACCAGACCCGGCCAGAAGCAGCCTCCAGCCCTGGGCTCTGCCCGCAGCACCGCTGCACTGCACTGCGGAGGCTCCTCCAGATTTCAACAGGGCCCCCGGAAAGCACTAAAAGGCCCCTGCATTTCGCCTGGGCACAGGGAACACCGTTCTAATTGCCACAGAATTCAAAAGCCACAAAAGTAACTTCGACCACAGAAAATAAAAAACCTTCAATGAGGCCAAAATAACAAAAAGTCAAAAGGCAAGTGATAAATAGGGAAAAACACCATGAGAACTTCACATCAAAGACCAAGAAATTATTATGTCAACTACTCCTATAAAGACCAACAACCCAGTAGAAAAATGGCCAAAGAATATGAACACAGTTTATAGAAATACAAATCACGTTTGAAAGTAAGAAACTATGTCCAGTCTTTAAGAAAAATGAAAATTAAAACTACCCAGATATGCTACTTTTAACCTAACACATTATCAAAAGTTCTGAGATGGGAAAGTAACTGCTGGGGACAATATGAGGACATGCACTGCTGGGACGTGTATGAGATGGAACTCATCTGCAGGGCATTCCCGCAGTATCTCTGAAAATGACAAGTGCAGATACATTCTAATCCAGAAATCTAACTTCTAAAAATGTGCATCGTAGCGATGCAGTCATATGCCTGCAAAACAGCAAACATCATGGTCTTTTGTTTGTTCATCCTCACCCAAGCATATTTTTCCATTGATTTTTAGAGAGAGAGGAAGGGAGGAGAGACCGAGGGAGAGAGAAACATTGATGTGAGAGAGACACATCGATTGGTTACCTCTGACCAGGGCCAGGGGTAGAGCTAGCAACCGAGGTACATGCCCTGGACAGGAACTGAACCCAGGATCCTTCAGTCCACAGGCCAACGCTCTATCCACTGAGCCAAACCGGCCAGGGCCAACATTGTGGTCTTTTACCAGAGCACTGTTATGAAAAGCAAAGGCCTGAAACAATCCAGACATACATTCATAAGAAACTGATTATATTAATGCAAACTCAGAATCTGAAAAAGCACCAAAAAACTCTTTTGTGATTGATATAGAACCATCTCTAAGTGAAAAAAAGGAAAGAAAGAAAAAAGCCAGGCACGGAACAGTATGCATAACACAAAACCATTTGTCTAGAAAAGAATGGGAGAAAATACATTTCTGTTACAAATACACCTGTGTGTGATTTTTAAAATCTTTGGGCCCGGCCAGTGAGGCTCAGTGTCAACCTAGGAACCAGGAGGTCACGGTTTGATTCCCGGTCAGGGCACAGGCCTGGGTTGTGGGCTCCATCCCCAGTCGGGGGCCTGCAGGGAACAGCCGATCAATGATTCTCTCTCATGGACGTTTCTCTCTCTCTCTCCCTCTCCCTTCCTCTCTGAAATCAATAACAATATATCGAAGAAAGAACAACAACGCCATGCCAGGTGGGCAGCAATGCCTTGCGCAGCAGAGCTGGTGCCTTACCCAACGTGTCCCTTCTGCCCCAGCCCTGACCACTGAGCGTCCTCAGGGGCCCAGGATCTTCAGTGAACACACGACCTCACTGCCCGTGACATAAACGTGCGGCACCTCAACCTGCACAGTGAGCGTCACCCAACGAGAACACGTGAGCCATGCACAGCACAAGGTGTCGCCCTCCCAGTCGGTGCTTCTTGCCACGACCCGCGTCCTTTGCAGCTGTTAGCGAACACTCCCTCTACATCCCGTTAAAAAAGTGTGACACAGAACTCATTAACTGCTCCACAGAACTGCTCCCTCTGCTGGATCTTCCCATACCACCTGCTGATGAACCCAGGGTCCAAAACACCTCTCTCTCTCTCTCTCTCTCTCTCTCTCTCTCACACACACGTCTTACACATCACCCAGTGTTCCAGTCCAGGTGACCCCACCTCTGCTGGTATTGCACCTGCAACTACTCTCTGAATTTAATGGTCATAACAGGATTTTTTTGGCCTCCAGTCAATCTTCTGTCTCCAGCATTGTATCGACTGAGCTGAGTCTTAATTTATTGCCACAGGCAATCACCAGTGTTTTAAACACAAGAGAACCCTGGAGCATCCGAGGAGGGCATTTGAAACCTGGGTTCCAAACCACTTTCCAGATTCCCTCCCTCACGATTTCTGCCAGGACGCAGGCGGCTCTGGCCTCAGTGCTCAGCCCGCACCTTCTCCAGGAGCCTCCAGGTGAAGTGACAGGTCTGAATGGCGAAGGCTGGTTAATAAGCCTGTGGTATCTGGCAAACAGCTATGTGGACCAAGCTGAGCCAATAAGATACATGTACGCGCTCTTTCTCTAAAGGAAAGAAAACTTCAACTAAGTAATCGTGGGTCCCTGAGACTTAAGGTAGCAGAGAGCGGGACCCAGAGCCCAGCGAGGCCAACCCAACGTCCTGTACAGACCGAGTCACAAAGAAGCAAGAAGTAAGAGATGGCAGAGAAAAGACAGTTTCCAGAAGGGAAAGGAATGGAGACATATGAGGGGGAAGCACAGGTCCCGAGACACATGGCTGCAGGCTGGCTGCTCTTCCAGTTGGACTCTCCTACGGCCTGTCCTCAACGTTTTGTGCATGTGAGCTCCTCTGAGTGTGCAGCATCCTTTGCAGTCGAGTGCTTCTAGGAGACTGCCCCCCAGACACTCGCCCTTCTAGCTGAAGCGTGCTGTCTGGGCCGCACGCCTCGTCTGCCTGGAAGCTTTCCTCCCCATTGTCAGATCCTCGGGTCCAAGGCCACCTTTTCCAAACTGTCCACGATTTACAACCCTCTCACCAGCAGGCCCATCGACACCAGGCCACCAGCTGCTGGTGGGGAGGACAACGCCAGCCCCTGGACAGTGCGGATGCCGGCACCTGGCAGGCACGCTGACTGCATCCGTCTTCACCCCGCACCTGGCAGGGCAGCAAACATCTATCAGGTGACTGGATCGGTGGGGTGTGCCAGCCATTTAAAATTTTCTATCAGCATGAACCTCAGTGAGCGTGAACTCGGATGAACTTGTTCTGAAACAAACAAAAACCTTCATGCATCACCACCGAGAAGGCCTCTGGCACCGAACTGGGCACTTGGGGATCAGTGAAGAGAGACAGAACCCAGGCCACGAGCGATGTTCTGCCACAAGCAGAAGCCAGCCCCGGGCAGGACACCATCGGGGACACAGGGCGCTCCTTGTCCGTCTCCGTTAGAAAGAAGCCACCTGTCAGTCTTAAAGGTCCCGCTCCAATACCCCTTCCCTAGAAAACAACACATCTGCTTTTAAGAGAAAAAGAGTAAAATCTTTCATTAAAAATGTCCTGAGATAAATATTAGAGAAAACAGTTCCTAGGAAAAGAGGCAATTTTTACGAACAAAACCCACTAAATCCCCACCAGCCAACACGTTTGTGAAGGCGCAAACTGGACTCGGGAAACAGCTTTCTCAGACCCCCAAGGAGGGGGGGGGGGGGGCAGGAAGAAAGACACAGGAGGCAGCCCCGAGACCGCAGACTCGGCGCGTATTAAGCGAAGTCTCCTCTCTTCTGTCTTCTCCCCCCACAATCCTCCCAACCCGCACACGGAAAGAGAACCAGAAGCAAGACGGTCAACCGCGAGGAACAGGAAAGGACATGAAACAGCAGCTTTCAAAGGCTCCTCTTCAGCTGGAACAAAAGTAAAACGGAAGCAGCTCCCCCCAGACTGTGCTGCTTCGTGAGGTCGGCGCTGGTAACCTGTGTGCACCTCCCGGCACAGGCAGGTCTCAGCCAGGAAGCCGGTCAGCGGTGACTGCGTGGCCCGGACAGGGAGCTGAGGGGGTGGCGGCGAGGTGACAGGAGGCCGAGGAAGGCTCTATTGCTTATGCCCACCGCCCTCTAACCCCGCCCCCCCCAGCCCACCTCCTCAGCCCCCACGATCTGTGCTGCCAGCAGACACGCAGGCTGGCCCAGCCCCATCACTGTTCCCTCCTCGGACCTCCCCAGGCAGGGAACTCGCTTCCCAGGCTGAGACAGGCTGCCTAACGCTCCCGCCGCCTCTGTCACTGGGTCCTTCCTCGCTGCCTGCTTGTTCCCTTGGAGGAGAATTTAGAAACATACCGTCACGTGGGGCCTCCTCACACAGGAGCGACGGCGCGCTCTGGGGAGCGGTGACCTGGGTTTCCTCCTCCCCTGCCAGAGCCCCCTGTCCTGGCTGCTGCTCCCCTGCCTGGCAGACGTGGGGGCCTGAGTCCGTGCCGGCTCCACTAACACCTTCTCGCCCCCCGTCCGGGCTGCTCACTTCAGGAATCCGCTCCAGCTCCTGCTGGAGACACAGCCCTGCAGCGCCCAGCTCCTTCCTCCCCGCGCTGCTGCTGCAGCTGCTGTTCCAGTGGGTCAAGTGGGCCGACTCTTCCTCCTTCGTGGCCGCTGCTTCCGCGCAGAGGGGAGGAGGGGGCTCCTCGGTGGACAGGCTGGGCAGCTCCCCAGGGTTCAAGCTGCAGCCAGCTGTCTGCTCCTCGG